TACAGCACTTCACTGACCTCATTCCTAAGGAGCGGTGTTTAAAAAAATATAAGCAAAGCTCACACCTAAATATAGAACGGCACTACAGCAAAAAGCTTCTTGAGAGCGCGGAGCAGAGAGACTCAGGGAGGAAACAAAAAGAGAGGCTGGAGTCTATGGGGATGGGTGCATTTGTGATCTGGTCGACCGGGGCTGCAGAGCACACCCGATTGGGCCCTTACAATGCAGTGAAAAAAGTGAGGTGGGGCAGAAAAGGGGGGAAGCGACAGATGAACGAGAGGAACGTGAGGGGAGCATAGAAACGTCTCTGGAACGCTACCAGAAAAGGGCAACGCCCTCTCGGAGGGGAGAAAAAAGCACCATCAATAAAATATGATGAACAAGCAAAAGCAAATGAAACGGCCCGAGTGTCAATCCACCGGGAGGGACGCGGCCGAGAGGCAGCGGGAGCAGCCAGCGGGGGCTGCGTGGAGGTATGCCCACGTGGGGAGCCGCTGCCGGCAGCAAAGCCTGAGATGGCAGACGGAGGGGCCTAGGAGTATCTTGAAGACACTGGTAGCCAGAGGACAAGCGAATCCCCGAAAGACAGGATTCGAGTTCAATTACACCCGAGTGTGGAGAATCCTGGTGAATTCTCGCAGCACCGCGGCGGTCCAGACTGCAGCCAGCTGGGCGGAGCTCGGCAGCAGAGCGAGACCGTGCTCGGCTGAGCAGCGCAGTCGTGAACCAGGCAATCCCTGGGGCATGGCTCCGAGGGTGACTAACACCGCGCTGTGGCACAGGGCACACCGGATACTGACACAAACTCTGCAGGGCACTGCATGGCTCATGAGCTCGGAGCACAGCCTCTCGCTGCACGAGCCCACAGCTGGGAATGGTGAAAGAAGGCACTAAGAGGGCAATCGCTGCTGGAGCCGGTGGGTTTCAAATGCACGTGCTCGTCGCAGGGCTGGGCAAGATCCGACCCCGCAGGCCAGATTCAGCCCGCCCAAGCCTTTGAATCCGGTCCGCGGCCCACCCCACCGGGACCCTCAGACAGGGAGCAGCCTCAGGCCGCTCAAAGCGCCTGGCTGCTCCATGTGCCTCTCTGCACCATGCGCCGGGGAAGGAGGCTGTGTGCGCTGCTCCTGCCTGCAGCCAATGGGAGCTGAGAAATTGTGCTGGGGGCGGGGCCGCGGCTGAAGCCTCCCCATACACACAGCATCAACAGGCACATGGAGCAGCCAGCTGCTTTGAGCAGCGTGGGGCTGTGGCAGGCAGGGAGCCTGCCTGAGGAGGCTGCTGGCCGGGAGCTGCCTAAGTAACCTACCTCCTGCACCCTACCCCCTAACTCCCTGTCCCAGGTCACCACCCAAACCCTCTGCACACACTCCCCCGCCCCAGTCCCAACTCCCTCCCAGACTCTGCAAAGCCAGAATCCTCTCCTGGACCCATACACCCTCCCTGACCCTGCACCCCAATTCCCTGCCCCGGGTCACAACCCCTTCCTTCACCCCAACTTCCTCTCAGACCCCACACCTTCTCGTGCACCCGAATCCCCTACCAGGAGCTCCCTTCTGCACCCAATCTCCAGCCGAGAACCCATTTCCACAGAAAACTCTTGACCACTTACCAAAAGCTTGGCATGGCCCACCATAAATACTATTGCCCACCCCGGCTTAGGGCCTCACCCTACAAGGTGTGGAGTATCCCTTACTTGGTGCTGAGCGACTCCTTTCTATTTCGGGCGTGGGGGGGGATCCAGAGTGCGGAGCATCATGCCTGGGCTGTTTAGCCCCTTGCAGGATGGGTGGCTCAGTCTCACTTGGGGCATCGCTTTTCCTGCCCGGATACCCAAGTTAGTTTCCCATTACAACCCGCACCTGGATGCCCAAACACCTGAACCTCTTGTAGCTGCCATGGTGCTGCTCCGAGCTCTGCTGCCCTAGCCTGTGTGCCCATATTTAAGCACAGGGCACCTCCCAGATGAACCAGGAGCGTCTGTCTCTACACAGACAGACAGGGAAACACAAGGCACTGGCGATGAACCTAGAGCAGACTCGGGCCCAGGATCCAGCCCTCCCTCCGGTTCGGGCAGCCTGCCGTGGCTGGGATGGGCTTTTACGCTCTGAGCAGTGTTTTCTGAGTGCCTGGCACCACCACCTGGCGGAACAGCGCCATGCAACTTGAAACTGCAGATTGCTATTGCTGGCAGGACAGCGGGGCACCGGGCAAGGCCGGAGGGGGGAGGGAAGAAACAGCCACACAGATGGCTGGCCCAGCTACTTCTGACTCACTTCGCGCCTCTCCTCGCCTTCCTGTGCAAGAAGCAAGCTGCCCTAGCTTGCCACGCCCAGCGCGGGACCCGGTTCCTGCACGCACCGGGGACAGAAGAAGCCAGGCTGGCAAGAAAAGAGACGGGGGGGAGGAAAGATGAGGCAGGAGACGTGGAGGGCAACACCGGACTGCAGCAACAGCATCCCACAACAAGAACTCAGGGATGACGGACATTACCTGAGATCAGCACCAGGAGGAGGTCGTCAGCCGTCAGGCCTTCCGCGAGCTCCCGGATCATGCTGGCTGCCCTCAGCGCCTCTCGGTCCGGCAGGTTGTGCTTAGCCCCTTCTATGACCTGGATCCGGCTGTGTGGCTTCAGCAGCATCGCCCTGCAGGGGTTGGAAAAGCAATCAGGCCACTGCAGCGCACACGGAGCACAGCCTGCCAGGCAGCCCCGCTCCCACCAGAGAGCAAGAGGGATGTGGGGGGCCAGACAGGGCCCTGTCTGCTCAGTGATGGGTTTATCCCAGTTCCTTCGCAGGCCAGGCTGAACGAGGAGTCTCGTACACATGGTGCAAGGTCAAGGGTTAAAGCTGGGACAGATGGAGAGAATCCAAGAGGGATTCGGCAGACCACAAGGGGAAAATATACAGCAGGCAGCTACACCTGCAGCAGCGTGTGCTTCCCTGGCCCCATCACACCAGACTATCGAGGCGGTAGCAGACTTACTCCATTCCTGCCTGCTGCAGACACGCCTGGATGCCATGGGGGACGCTGACAACCCCCCGAATAAGGTGGTGCCCGAGGATCTCCTCTGCCGCAGCTGCCATTCCTAGCACAGCTTTCCCGAAGCCCACCAGGTGCAGGTTCCTCCTCACGGGGAAAGCCCGGTCTCCCACGACCAGCCTGGTGCCTCCGTTGGTTTCGAGAGCCAGCGCCCTCCTCATCATGGGGGCCGGCAGGACGACACCCACGGCGCTGCGGAAGAGGTGCAGCCCATGCTCCCAGAGGGACATGTGGCGTGGAGATGCGTGGCCCCAGCCGGCTCTGCGGATGTTGGGCAGAGCTTTGAGAGCGGAGGTCATGCCTGGCCCAGGCTGTCTCGTGGCGTCTGTCCCTCAGTCAGCCGTCGCCAACCTGGAACAAGGGGAAGGAACAGTTACTGCTCAGTGAGCAAGAAGTGGGGCACTAGCCAGTTGTGAACCCAGCATGGGACTCGGCCTTACTCAGACCAACTCCCACGGGACCAACGAGGGTTTGGCCAGAGTAGGAACTAGCCACCGAAGTCTGAAGAGCGAGCTTCCCAAGGCAGGTCAATCCACAGTGCTGCCCAGAGCGGCTGTGCATGCTCTTCCCGCGGGGGCAAGACAGCCCCTCGCCGGTTAGATTTCCTGTATTTTCAGACTTCTGCCAATTTGGGGGTACACAAACACAGGGCTGACTCACAGCTTCCCTCCCCTGCCCCTGATGTTCCCTGCAACCCCATCAGCCCCCCTGCGAGGGCTGAACATCTGCCGGTTCACTTCAGGTCCCCTGCAGATAAGGGTTGTAAAATCTTCGGCTGCAGACAGGGGCTGCTTCGGCTGGGCTGGAGCGCCCCTGTCCGCTACGGGTCCCGCGGGGCTGGAGCAGCCTCCTTTCCACAGCAGGCGAATGATCCGAGAGAAGCATTCCCCCCGGCATCTCATGCAGCCCACGGTAGAACAGCGGGCTCAGTCCAGAACCATCCTTCTGCCCGCCAGCCGAGAGGACACCGCTCCCATGCAGTGAACGTCCTAGACGTTCCTGGTGCTGGGGAAGCGAGATGCTGCACAGCCCGCTGGTGTGCTGGAGAGTCACTCCGGAGCTTGCCACAGATCCGAGAGAAGCATTCCCCCCGGCATCTCATGCAGCCCACGGTAGAACAGCGGGCTCAGTCCAGAACCATCCTTCTGCCCGCCAGCCGAGAGGACACCGCTCCCATGCAGTGAACGTCCTAGACGTTCCTGGTGCTGGGGAAGCGAGATGCTGCACAGCCCGCTGGTGTGCTGGAGAGTCACTCCGGAGCTTGCCACACAAGGAACTGGGGTGTATGCAAGCGCTCAGGAACAGCAACGAGCTACTACACAAGGAACGCAACAGGAGGAGGTCAGCCAGGGAACAGTCGCCCGAAAGGTGGCTATTTTGTGAGACAGTCTGGCGGGCTAGGGGATAAAGGACATTTTATCATCCCGCACTAAAAACAATTCCAGAGCAGAGCGTGTGCAGCTGGCGGGAGAATTCACGGGTGGCCCAGACACACAAAAGCAGAAATCCAACCATGTCTCTGGCCAAACAGTTTAGCCACCAGTGAACCCCACAGGATGGGCACACTGCATCTCTTCTGTCTCAAGCCAGCCCTGTCCCAGGTTCCAGCTGGCAAACCTCTTGCCTCTGCCTCTTGGGAGAGTAGTCCGGCCAAGGTTTGCGCTTGGCTGCCTCCGGACGCAGGGAACCTCTCCCTGCTGGGAATTCCTGCAGGGCTGTCTGGCGCCATCACAGGGCTGAGGTGCCCTGCTGGGGGCACACAGTGACTTGTGCGCCCTGTCACGGGGAAGGAGAGGGCAGAAATACCTTCCAGCCATGTCTTCCTTCACTGACTGCACACGCGAAGTGCTAGGCCACCGGCCGGGTGCTCCTCCTGCAGAGCCAAAGAGTCCAGAGGTCTCTTTCTCCAAACCCTCCCACAAGGCAGCCAGGGTTTAATTATTAAGTCAGGCCCAGCCATAGCACCTCTGAGCTTGCATCAGCGCAGTGCCTCTTTCTGCCACTCAGGCACTCGGACAGTCCTGAGCCCCCACAAGAACCTCCAAAGCCACAGGGGGTGGGCATGCTGATCAACCCCTGCCACCCTACAGGGAAAGTGGCGCCATCACAGGGCTGAGGTGCCCTGCTGGGGGCACACAGTGACTTGTGCGCCCTGTCACGGGGAAGGAGAGGGCAGAAATACCTTCCAGCCATGTCTTCCTTCACTGACTGCACACGCGAAGTGCTAGGCCACCGGCCGGGTGCTCCTCCTGCAGAGCCAAAGAGTCCAGAGGTCTCTTTCTCCAAACCCTCCCACAAGGCAGCCAGGGTTTAATTATTAAGTCAGGCCCAGCCATAGCACCTCTGAGCTTGCATCAGCGCAGTGCCTCTTTCTGCCACTCAGGCACTCGGACAGTCCTGAGCCCCAACGAGAACCTCCAAAGCCACAGAGGGTGGGCATGCTGATCAACCCCTGCCACTCTACAGGGACAGTGCCGGGCTGTACTCAGACCTGCGTGCCCTGCGCTGCTCTCAGAGCAGACCACAGCTCTCTAGGGACCAGTGCAGGGCTGAACAAGGACCACAGTGCCCGGCCCTGCTCCCAGGACAGACCGCAGCTCTCTAGGGACCAGTGCCGGGCTGTACAGGGACCGGAGTGCCAGGCCCTGCGCCCAGGGCAGACCGCAGCTCCCTAGGGACCAGGGCCGGGCTGTACGGGGACCGGAGTGCCAGGCCCTGCGCCCAGGGCAGACCATAGATCCCTAGGGACCAGGGCCGGGCTGTACAGGGACCGGAGTGCCAGGCCCTGCACCCAGGGCAGACCGTAGCTCCCTAGGGACCAGGGCCAGGCTGTACGGCGACCGGAGTGCCAGGCCCTGCACCCAGGGCAGACCGTAGCTCCCTAGGGACCAGGGCCAGGCTGTACGGCGACCGGAGTGCCAGGCCCTGCACCCAGGGCAGACCGTAGCTCCCTAGGGACCAGGGCCAGGCTGTACGGCGACCGGAGTGCCAGGCCCTGCACCCAGGGCAGACCGTAGCTCCCTAGGGACCAGGGCCAGGCTGTACGGCGACCGGAGTGCCAGGCCCTGCACCCAGGGCAGACCGTAGCTCCCTAGGGACCAGGGCCAGGCTGTACGGCGACCGGAGTGCCAGGCCCTGCACCCAGGGCAGACCGTAGCTCCCTAGGGACCAGGGCCAGGCTGTACGGCGACCGGAGTGCCAGGCCCTGCACCCAGGGCAGACCGTAGCTCCCTAGGGACCAGGGCCAGGCTGTACGGCGACCGGAGTGCCAGGCCCTGCACCCAGGGCAGACCGTAGCTCCCTAGGGACCAGGGCCAGGCTGTACGGCGACCGGAGTGCCAGGCCCTGCACCCAGGGCAGACCGTAGCTCCCTAGGGACCAGGGCCAGGCTGTACGGCGACCGGAGTGCCAGGCCCTGCACCCAGGGCAGACCGTAGCTCCCTAGGGACCAGGGCCAGGCTGTACGGCGACCGGAGTGCCAGGCCCTGCACCCAGGGCAGACCGTAGCTCCCTAGGGACCAGGGCCAGGCTGTACGGCGACCGGAGTGCCAGGCCCTGCACCCAGGGCAGACCGTAGCTCCCTAGGGACCAGGGCCAGGCTGTACGGCGACCGGAGTGCCAGGCCCTGCACCCAGGGCAGACCGTAGCTCCCTAGGGACCAGGGCCAGGCTGTACGGCGACCGGAGTGCCAGGCCCTGCACCCAGGGCAGACCGTAGCTCCCTAGGGACCAGGGCCAGGCTGTACGGCGACCGGAGTGCCAGGCCCTGCACCCAGGGCAGACCGTAGCTCCCTAGGGACCAGGGCCAGGCTGTACGGCGACCGGAGTGCCAGGCCCTGCACCCAGGGCAGACCGTAGCTCCCTAGGGACCAGGGCCAGGCTGTACGGCGACCGGAGTGCCAGGCCCTGCACCCAGGGCAGACCGTAGCTCCCTAGGGACCAGGGCCAGGCTGTACGGCGACCGGAGTGCCAGGCCCTGCACCCAGGGCAGACCGTAGCTCCCTAGGGACCAGGGCCAGGCTGTACGGCGACCGGAGTGCCAGGCCCTGCACCCAGGGCAGACCGTAGCTCCCTAGGGACCAGGGCCAGGCTGTACGGCGACCGGAGTGCCAGGCCCTGCACCCAGGGCAGACCGTAGCTCCCTAGGGACCAGGGCCAGGCTGTACGGCGACCGGAGTGCCAGGCCCTGCACCCAGGGCAGACCGTAGCTCCCTAGGGACCAGGGCCAGGCTGTACGGCGACCGGAGTGCCAGGCCCTGCACCCAGGGCAGACCGTAGCTCCCTAGGGACCAGGGCCAGGCTGTACGGCGACCGGAGTGCCAGGCCCTGCACCCAGGGCAGACCGTAGCTCCCTAGGGACCAGGGCCAGGCTGTACGGCGACCGGAGTGCCAGGCCCTGCACCCAGGGCAGACCGTAGCTCCCTAGGGACCAGGGCCAGGCTGTACAGGGACCACAGTGTCAGGCGCTACCTTGAAGCGTGGGCCTGGCGGGCTGGTGCTGAGCACGTGGCTCCCACCCCTGCTCTTGCCTGCAGGGCCTCGGTCCGCAAGGCCCCCACGTGAGACAGCCCTAGCCCCGCCCCCCTCTGCGCGAGCTAACTCAGGACCCCGCGCTGTTGCCTACCAGCCTCCCGGGCTCGACCAATCAGGCGCCTGCACAGCCAGCAGGGCAGGGCAGGGCCCCCCCCACTCTGCCCGCG